TTTCTTTTCTTTAAAAAAAAAAAAAAAAAAAAAAAAAAAAATTGAAGATTCTTGTGATGCTTGGTTGAGGGTTGTTTGTATGATATCCAGTGTCTTAATAATTGTTCCAAATTCATTTCCAATGGTTAACTGATTCAAATATAGAAGAGATGGATCTTTATCCCGCCTCATGGTTTACCATTTGTTGCCTCTCTAAGAAAAACACCCTCATGGCAAACTTTAACCATTTAAACATAGAGTTAGCTAAATATATAATTCCATGATAGTTATACATATGAACTGAGAACATGCTACAACCACCACCAAGTTTAGAGAAAGACATTTGGATTTGTAAGACAAGACAAATTATTACCTTGTCATAAAGCCCAGCTTCCTGACACTGTCGAGCAGCTTCCAGTAGAAACTGTTGCCTTGATTTAATGTCAGTCATAAAACGTACTAATTCACCTTCTTCTCCAGCACCTCTTGCACCAAGCAAGAGATAGATGCCTCCATCACGTAACAACAGCTCAGTTAGAAGTTGCTTCAGCATCAAAGTTCTCTGCCGCTGCTGATCCACACTACCCCTGCTAGACCATGCCAACTGTCCACCCCCCACGGCTGCAGCAGCCTGGGCATAGTACTCTAGTGCCATAGATAAATTACCCATTCTTAAATATAGAGAACCATACTGCCTAATTATGCTAGATACCTCAGCATAAGCATCCATCACACCCAATTTTTGTCCAGCCCCTGATCCTTCTGAAAGTACTCCATGGTCCGCAAGCACAATTGATATGTGGGCAGCATCAATATTTAATCCTTCTTCTCCTGTTTCCTTTGACAAATACAAGACCGCAGGCAGCAACTGGATACTTAAAAGCAGAACATATGGATATACCAGGGGGTCTTTCCCATTTTTTGTATAATATGACGGTTCAAATTTGTTGAGGTAAAACTGCAAATCATCCAAAGTGTAAGGTACCGAGCCTTCATTCAGAACAATAGATGAGGATTCCCCATGGCTGTTACGTACAGCTGACAACTGAAACCATAGAAAATCCTCTATTGTATTAAACAGCGTTGGAAGATCTCTCAACAAACGGTCAATATGCCGGCGAGAACCTGAAATAATAGCATATAACAACAACTTTTTTTTATCATATGCAGCTCGGCCCATCCTATCTCCCATTCTTAACAACTTCTCACATTCTTCTGATGCAACACTTGCGATCTCTGCTGGTACCATACCCCCAGTATTAATCCATTCTGTAAGCTGTCAAGAAAAAAATTGTGACTTAAGGTTGAATATGGCATCAATTCCATTAACAAACAATTTTAAAAGTTATACCAGAGGAGCAAACTGATTTGATGCACGAGACGACAGTGAAATGTTTCTGGCTTCGTCGTAATATCCAGTTCTCAAGCAGAAGTAAATCTGTTTAAAACAAAAAAAAAAAAAAAAAAAAAAAAAAAC